CACTCCCTGGTCATCTTTCACCTTGACTACTGCAATTCCCTCTTCATTGGCTTGCCTTTACATAGGCTATACCCCCTTCAGTCCATCATGAATGCTGCTGCCAGATTGGTCCACCTTACCAACTGCTCAGTGTCCGCTATCCCCTCTCTGCGGATCCCTCCACTGGCTTCTGTTCACCCAACTAATTACATTCAAAATGCTAACAACAACTTACAAAGCCATCCACAACTCTTCCCCCAGCTACATCACTAACCTTGTCTCAAAATACCAACAAAATAATTCTCTTTGTTCCTCCCAGGACCTCCTGCTCTCTAGCTCCCTTGTCACCTCCTCCCATGCTCACCACCAGGACTTCTCCCATCCTCTAGAATTCCCTACTTCAATCTGGCCAACTATCTCCTACTCTGTCCACGTTTAGATGATCTCTGAAAACTCATCTCTTCAGAGAGCCCTATACTGCCCCCACCTAATAAATGTACATTTATTCTCTTCATCAGTCCATCCCCCACAGTTATTACCTTTTGCATCTCTTAACCCTCTCTCCTAGATTGTAAACTCTAATGAACAGGGACCTCTTATTTCTACTGTACTAAATTGTATTGTAATTGTACTGTCTGCCCTTATGTTGTAAAGCGCTACATAATTGTAGGCGCTATATAAATCCTGTATAATAATAATAATTATAATAATAAAACTATTACTATATTGTTTTAAAAGCAGTACATGCCTTTGCTTTCCTATGTCTATTCAGAATTACTTAACCTGACATTCCTCACAAATTTACTGAAAACAGTGTATAACAGAAGGTGCAAAAGATGCTCAAGGATGACACCTACCATGTACACGCCTGTGCACAAACATGTATATACACAAGTGTATTAACTGTGATGCAAGACATTTCATTTCACACATTTCATAATACATAATCTTCAAATAGCTTATGTATTATATTGCTCTGTGACCTTTTTAGAATATTTTATGTGCATAGCAGAGGTGGCAGCATTCCAATATGCCTGATCAAAAATGTAACATACTTGTAGCTGGTGTCAACGCCTTTGATCTTCAGCTATCAAACAGCTACATTAATGAATGCTGAAAGTCTATTTACATACAATAAACTCTCAGGCACATTCAGTTCAGGCGTGGTTCTTTTCTTTAAATCTTCAGAAAGAATAGGTGCCACTTACTTTAGTAACTTTTAAAATAGAAAAATGTATATAGCACATAGCACTATGGGAAGGAGGGTTTGGTGCTGATCAGGATACTCTGGATCACATGTATCAAACTAGGCCTCTGTATATTCTAGATCTCTCAAAATCTCTAGTTTCCTTTCAAATCACAGCCTTGCAGGCTGGACTCCATCAGAGCTTGGGCTCCCTGGTGACTAAGGTTCAAGTGATAGCTCAGTCTTCACTTCCAGGGAAGGACAGCTTGGAAAGGTTCCTGATTATAACTTCCCACACAGCCATACCTCTCCACAGTTTAAGTTTTCTTCCCCATGCCTTATGCTCTCTTCTTCCAACAGCCACGCACCTTAATGTGGAATTTTAGTCAGAAAATTAAGTTCTGCTAGATCACTTCAGACTGGCCACTTTTGCAGGTATAGCTATGGAAAACATTAAAACCAAGTGCCTATACCGTTTAAAATGTAGTAATAAACTGTCTCACCCTGCTCTGCATCTGCACATGCCTAGTTGCTCTCTATTTTTCAGCAATGTGCCAAATATGTAGAGGTCGTTATGCTGACAGCCTAAAGATTTATTGCTGCCTGAGGGCTCGGGGCTTCAACAAAATGGCAGCCTTTAGCAAGAAGAAACAGGAACAATGCTGGAGGCAATTTACTGCACACACTATTTTTTCTTAGTATAATTATGAATGTGGAAAGTATAGTATGTTCCTTGTTACAGAATACTATTTTTCTATCACGTTTTTATGGGTAAAGTTCTGCTTTAAAGGTTTTCTCTCACGAGGGGAGATCTCTCCATTCTTCCATGTGCCCAGGCTCAAGGCCTAGAAGAGACTGACACAAAATTGGCATCCTTATTAGGCAGAAGCCCTAGAGCACGGAGTCAAACTGGTGGCCCTCCAGCTTTTGCCAAACTACAAGTCCCATGAAGCATTGCAAAATTGACAGTTACAAGCATGACTCCCAAAAGCAGAGGCATGATGGGGCTTGTAGTTTTGCAACAGCCGGAGGGCCACCAGTTTGACACCCCTGCCCTAGAGGGAAGAACAGAACATATGATTCCTCAGGTATCAGGTAGCTGTCCCATCATACACATAAGGTTTCCCAGGCCCCTTGATTGACTAGGCTATCAACTCTCTTTAGAGTTAAGCTCAAACAACATGTGGCAGTAGAAATATACTCTGAGCTTAGAGGGATTCTCCTCTTGTGGTACAGTCGGGCTGAGTTGACTGACTACAGAGTTCACAAAACTACAAAAAGGAATTTAGTGAAAATACTACATCCCTACATTTATACAAATGTAATCAGCAATCACAATAACACAAAGTCTTCTCCAAAAGCACTTTTAAGCAAATAGGCACTTATGGTAACAGTTAATGGTACAATGTAGGGCTTACATACTTGAAGCTGCATGATGTGTGCTTCCTTAAGCATTGTTCCAACAGAAAATTCAGTGGCAAGGTTATCACAGAAGACTGCACTGTCCTAATCCTGCCACTATGCAGGGTAACCTTTAGTACAATAGCACTCTGATAAAAGGTTCTGGAACCGTTCTTTTCCTCCACTGTCCTTTCAGAGACCATCTGTCCACAGCCTGCGCTATCCTTCCTTAGCTGGTTTCTGTCTCCATCTTAAGGCCTACCCTCTCCCTAACAAGTAGAGTCTTGTGTCTGCTTATACTATACTTCCCATACTGTGGGTCACTTTATGATGCAGACTAGGCTATACATATACACTTTCTCTCTCAAGATGGTGCATGGAGTTCATGGCAGAGGATACATTAGTCTTATGCCAGACTCCCTAAGTTCCAGTAAAAAGCAGTGTTCACAAGACCATGTTGTTTATTATTGTGCAACAGCCACAAAGTGATTGAACGATCTTGGATCACCACTTCACTCCCTATTCTGCTAGCCTGATAGAGTGGGGGCAATACCTATTGCTGCCACCTGCCTACATACTCAGGGACGTACTAAAAAAGGTTAAAAACAAAGAAGAAGTTAAAAAAAAAAACTACAAAATGCTAGTAGCAGTAGATAGTATCAGTCAGATGGTGCATGACATTGCACATAAGATTCTGGCCTAGGCAAGGCAATATAAGGCTAACATAAGCTCTGGAAAAGAATGAATAAGACTCTTGCCTACAGCAACCAATCAGTCAGTTATGGAATTTCATTTTCTAACTTGCACTGGAAGACTGGCAGCTGAAATTTGATGGTTTTTATTTGCTTCAGCCTTTATAAATTATCAACCGTGGGTCAGCACATGCCCTGAGGGTATGCACAATTAAAATTGCAATTTTTTCACCTTACAATATACAACCAAGCCTAGAAGAAGACCACCACACTTCTGATAAAAGTGCAACCTCCCCAGGGACTTAAAACAGACAGTCAGCCCTGTAGCGTAAGTAGAAAATCAATACTCTAGGACTGCAGAACTATACCTAAAAGCCCACTAAATTATGTTTTATGTAACAGCTTTTTTTTTTATAATATTAGGTTCTTCAAATCCCAATGCCGGTGATTTTTTTGTTTTTGTTTTAGATAGCAATGGTAACCCGATAGAAGTTCTAACTCTTTCCACTCTAACAGATTGAGAAGAAGAGGGCCGCGCCAACAGTAGAGAGTCTGAGACATAACACTGGATAAATGAGTACAGGTGACACAGTAGACAGCTGCATTGTCAGTATGGGAGGAGGAGGAGAGTATTAACTGTATTAGCACATTTAAATACACTAAACAAATTGAAGCCAAACTCCTGCTCACATTTTATAATCCGTATAAATATTATAATCCCTTCTGGTATAATGATTTTGCATGAATAAATAATAGCTGATCATTGTAATTACCTCTGCCAGTGTTAAGTATTTTTTCTCATTCAAAAAACAGTAAACTGATACATAATGCTGTACTTCTGAAAAACAACATACTTGCTGGCTTAATCACCACATGAAAATAGAAGAAGAAAGCCTAAAAAAGGAAAGTAATACAGCCAATCACATCTAATGATTGGTAAGCTGCAATATAATAAATATTTTCTTTTGTGTTTAATAATGCTTTAATAATAATGTATATGGTTTTAGATTTTCACATAAATAGTTTCTTCTGGATACAGGATCTTGACATTGCATAATTAGTGTTGTTTTGATGCAGAAGTTGCTGGTGCTGGACTTGGTCAGTAAGTATTAGAATAAGAGAAAAATTAAGGTAGAAGATTCATTGTTGAAGGCTCCATTTAGGGATTAAGATAGGTGATAAGGTTGGGAAAGGTTCTTTAAGTCCCTTTGGGGTTAATTTAAGAGTTTGGGTTGGATGGGTTAAGTAATTATGGCTTGTTTTAGGGGTTGGGTTAAATGGGCTATAAACCTGAGACATGAAAAATGAACAAAGCACATCTTTCTATACTAGCTGTAAAATACTAAGTGTGATTCCTTTCTGATCTCTAATCACTCTGTTATCTGCATGAGTCACTGATAGAACTCTAAGCCAACACAACAGCCTCTTGGGAGACCCCCAATTTCCAGCTTTCAGCGCTGTCGCACTTTGAATGACAATTGCGCAGTCAAACAACACTGTACCCATATGAAATTTGTATAATTTTTTTGTGACATATAGAGCCTTATTTTGGTGGTATTTAATCACCTCTGGGTTTTATATTTTTTCTTAAACAAACCAAAAACCACTGAAAGTTTTGAAAAAAAAAAATGTTTTTTCTTAGTTTTTTTTTATAAAATTTTGTAAATAAGTGATTTTTCTCCTTCACTGATGTGCGCTAATGAGGCTGCATTAATGGGCACTGATAGGCTGCACTGATGGACACTGATAGGTGGCACTGATGGGCACTGATGAGGAGGCACTGATAGGTGGCACTGATGGGCATTGACAGGCACCACTGATGGGCACTGAATGGCAGCACTGATACATGGCACTGATTTATGGCACTGATAGGCAGCACTGATAGGGGGCACTGACTGGCACTAATAGGCGGCACTGACTGGCACAGTTAGGCGGCACTGTCTGGCACTGTTAGGCAGCTTAGACTGGCACTGTTACGCACTGATACGCAGCACTGACTGGCAGCACTGACTGGCACTGATAGGTGGCACTGACTGGCACTGATAGGTGGCACTGATTGGCAGCACTGATAGGTGGCACTGATTGGCACTGATGGGTGTCACTGAAAGGCAGCTTAGATGGGCACTGATATGTGGCATTGATGTGCACTGGTAGGCACTGATATGTGGCACTGATGGGCACTGGCACGAGGCACTGATGAGCACTGACATAAGGCACTGATGGACACTGACAGGTGGCACTGCTGGGGCTACACTGATCATCATGGCACACTGATCATCAGTGCCCTGATGATCAGTGTACATGTCCCCTCCACGGAAAGCTGATTACCGCCTCTCCTCTCATCTCCTCTCGAGCTGTCAGGGTGACAGCTCGAGAGGAGAGAAATGCTGATAACCAGCATTTCCCTGTTTACATGTGATCAGTGGTGATTGGACACAGCTGATCACATGAACGAGCCGACATCTTCGGCTCTTTCCGTGATCGCTGATCTGCTGTGTCCCTCGATCACCGCGCTGCGCGCTCCCTGAGCCGCGCATACGCAGTGAGAGTGGGAGGACGTCATATGACGTCCTCCCAGAACAAGAGAACCACCTTGCGCCCGTCATATTACTATATGGCGGGTGGAAGGTGGTTAAAATATTCTTCCCAAATATATTGAAATATATTTGAAATACTACATTTTTCGGCATATTCAAGATATTTACATATATTTCATTTATATATATATATATATATATATATACTGTATGTTGAAATGCAATTTATGAAAAATATTATTAAAAATAAATTTTCACATATACTGTGTGTCTTTAAAAATACAAATCTACATTTTTGGAATACATTTACAAATATATGTAAAAACATATGCTAAAATTACTTTTTTATATGTTAAAATAAATCTGAACAATATATTTTAAAAATATATATTTTTAAAAATATTTTTCATATGTTTTGTAATATATAAAAAACACATTTCAACATATATACTGTATATATATATACACTCCAAACACTAAAAACAGATGTATTTAAATGTATATTTCCTTTTTTTTTTATAATCCCTAGCCTTATAGTACATTCTAAGTAAATGAAAAAAAGCTACGTTCTACCCTCCAGCATTTTATTTTAATAATTGTTTTTACATTTACTCCTTTTTTGTAACATATGAGCTGTCTTTTTTTGATCAGAAATATGTTAACCTCCCTAGCGGTCTGATTATGTCCATATTTCTGTGCTTAAAGCGGTACATTTTTTTGCATGGAAATATGTATTTTTTTTATTGTAGGTACCGCTTGTAGGTACCGTTTGTGGTACTGAAACTTTACCCCGAGCTACACTCTGGAATACCACCAGGGAGGCTACGTGTTGGGAATGAGTTAAGAGTTAATGGCCTATAATTTTTAGGAATAACTCACTGAAATCTGTCCGAACAAGAGTCTAGTAAACATTCAGGGTAGGATAAAACTTGAAACACAAAATCATAAATTATAATTTAATAAATAAACATAAAAAATAATAATATAATAATAATACATTTAATTCAATAATATAATCAAACCAAAAACACTGAAATTTGAAATATAGCGCCAAGTTCGCACATCACTGAGCAAAGCCCCAAAATCGTTTTCAGTGTCTGATGAGGAATTCCCCCACGAATCATTATCACTCAATTCTGCAAGTGGTTCTGATTTACTATCGCTGTTCTCTAGCTGGTCTAAAACCGCTTTTGACCTAAAGGGACGCTTTTTGGATGCCATGAACGTTTCTCAGTTACCAGGCAGAAAGAACAGTAAAAATGCTGGCAGGGCACAGGACAAAGCATGAGGGACAAAATGTATGTGAAATGCTTTGATACAGTAATGTTTTACTATGTGATTTTAGTGATTTTTGTGAATGTCACTTTTTGTCATTTTGAAATTTCCCACCGTTCCATCCCCCGTGCATCCCGACGCTCGCAGGGGACGGAACCCAGATAACAGATGCCAGCATCCGCCGGATTACATTGCCGGGGACACTGCAGGAGGGACATCGCGGGAGCGCAGGACAATGTAAGTGATCGAGGGATCGCGGAGCAGTGCCGCATGGTAAGCCCGAGTGTAGCTCGGGGTTACCGCTTGTGGTACTGAAACTTTACCCCGAGCTACACTCGGGAATACCGCCAGGGAGGCTATGTGTTGGGAATGAGTTAAGAGTTAATGGCAGAATTTTTGGGTTAACTGTTTGGGGTTCTTTATGTTTCATAAGATTCCTTTAGGGGTTTATGGGTCAATTCACTAAAGGTTATCGCATACGGAGACAAAATTCCAATTCACACAAAAAAAAAAAATTACGATTATGCGTTATTTAATGCATGTGCCGGTAAATATGGCAAAAAAACATGCGGTAAGCTATTAGGTCCAATTCAAAAACGGAATCAAATGTAAAAACAGATGCAATATTTATCACCAGGGTTTTTCTGGTGGTATCACGTGGTATTTTTTCAGAGCTGGTTGTTAACCACTTGCCTACCAGGCACTTATACCCCCTTCCTTACCAGGCCAATTTTCAGCTTTCAGCACTGCCGCACTTTGATTGACAATTGCGCGGTCATGCAACATTGTACCCATATGAAATTTTGATCATTTTTTTCTCACAAATAGAGCTTTCTTTTGGTGGTATTTAATCGCCACTGGGCGCTTAAAAGTGCAAAAAATTTGAAAAAAAAAAAAATAAAATTTTTCAAACAGGTATTTTTTCTCCTTCACTGATGTTCGTTGATGAGGCAGCACTGATGGGCACTGATAGGCGGCACTGATGGGCACTGATAGGCAGCACTAAAGGGCACTGATAGGCAGTACTAATGAGGTGGCACGGATAGGCGGCACTGATAGGCAGCACTAATGAGGTGTCACGGATAGGCGGCACTAATATGCAGCACTGATAGGCGGCACTGATAGGTGACACTGATGATGGGTACTGATAGATGGCACTGACTGGCATCACTGCTGGGCACTGACTGGCGGCACTGACTGGCACAACCGCTGGGCACTGACTGGTGGCACTGACTGGCAGCACTGCTGGGCTGCACTGGTGGGTGGCACTGGTGGGCAGCACTGGTGGGTGGGCACAGGTGGGTGGCACTGGTGGGCACAGGTGGATGGCACTGGTGGGCACAGGTGGGTGGCACTGCTGGGCACAGGTAGGTGGCACTTCTGGGCACAGGTGTGTGACACTGCAGAGTGGCACAGGTGGGCGCACTGCTGGGCACAGGTGGGTGCACTGCTGGGCACAGGTGGGCGGAGCTAGTGGGCGCACTGCTGGGCACAGGTGGGCGGAACTTGTGGGTGGCACTGCTGGGCACCGATCATCAGGGCACTGATCATCAGTGGCCCTGATGATCGGTGCCGATCCTCGCTCTGACAACTGCCGGTTCTCGGAAGTACTTTCCTCACGATCTGACAGCGTGAGGAAAGTGCAGCCGAGAACCGGCACTTGCATTTCCCTGTGATCAGCGTGTCATTGGACACCGCTGATCACGTGGTAAAAGGCCGGTATGATCGGCCTTTTACCACATCTCGTGATCAGCTGTGTCCGTAGGACACAGCGATCACGGAGATCGCCGGGTGCGCGCCCCCTGGGGCGCGCAGGAGAGCGCGTTCTGGGGGGACGTCATATGACGTCCACCCAGAACTGGCCGGCCGCAGTGAAGCCGTCATTTGGCTATCTGCGGTCGGCAACTAGTTAAGGAAGCCGGCCACCGAGCCCTTAAAAACAGATGACTCAACAGCTGTCAGTGGGTTTCCCGATAAAAGCTGAATTTAAAAAACAAGAATTTCTCGCAATTATAAATTAATTTTAGCAAAAAATTTTTTTTTTTAATTGTGTGGGGTCCCCACCCATAATCCTTACCAGACCCTTATCCAACCATGCAGCCCGGCAGGTCAGGAAAGGAGGGGGGATGAGCGGGTGCCCCCTCTGAACATTACCAGGCCACATACCCTCAAGGGTGGATGCTTTGGATTGGGAGGGGGCTCCCCCCCAAAGCACCTTGTCCCCATGTTGGTGGGGACAAGGGCCTCTTCCCCACAATCTGGGCGGTGGTTGTGGGGGTCTGCGGGTAGGGAGCTTATCAGAATCTGGAATTTCCCTTTAACAAAGGGGCCCCCAGATCCCCGGTCCCTCCCTATGTAAATTAGTATGTGATACATGGTACCGCTACTCATTCACAAAAAAAAGGGATGTGTAAAAATACCACAGTAGGCAGTCTTTGACAAGTCCTTTTTAAAAGAAAATAAAAATAAAAAAACTGTCCCCCAGTGTAGATCCATTGTCAATCATGATGACGATGAAAGGTTGACCTCACTCCAATGATGTAGCAGAGAAAAATGTTTTACTAATAGAAATCTTCAAGAAGTGAAAAGTGCATACATCACAGGTCCAGCATATGGACAATGAATAGTCAACGCGTTTCACACAAAGAAATGTGCTTACTCAAAATAGTTCAGTTATGAGTAAACATTTTTTTACCTTAAGGAATGCATTAAGGTAAAAAATGTTTTTAGCTTTAGTGTCACTTTAAGAGATTTCTTTTGTGGGTTAGGTTCTAGGGTGCACCTGTTAAAGGTGTATTTTAGGGGTTAAATACTAAGTGTTAGGGCTGATATAGATCATGCTATTGTATTCTCTACTTTTGGGGAGCTGTAGAGTGTTCACTTGTTCTTCTACTTTTTCTCATAACATACGAGCTGTGTTATTTTTTTTTTTTCGATTTTGATTTGACTATTTATAAGATAAAAAATAGCCTTAAGTATGGTGTATTTGCATTTAAAAATAATTATACACTGGTGAATTGATGTATGACATGTGTTAGCTGATATTTGAAAATAAGTATAAGGAATTTAAAATGTAGCTATGCTGAAAATCACATTCAGCAATTTATTACAGAAATAAAATTTAGTCAGATGTGTCAGACTTTGTTCAGCAGAAAATTTATGATGCAAAAATAGCACTAAAACTGAGACACTAACGTTTCAATGTGTTCTTAACATCAGCACATTGATAACATTAGGTTTTATCAGCACAAAGCCCTGGAAACATTAACAATGTGAATAATTAGTCATTGGCAGCATCATGCACTGCTCTGTATCTCCACCATTATCAGAAGAGCTACATGCCACTATAAATCAAGCGATTCATATTTTTCTAAGGAATTAGACATTTCTGCTTGCCTACAAATATTTAATCTATCAAAAACCACATTAATTGATTCAGAAATTTATAGAACATGTGAAGGAAAAATAACTTTGAAGAAAGACTTTTTTTCAATTCCCAGAATTTATTCAGCTGTCAGTTTGCTGTGCTAAAGTTATTTCAGCCTAGAAAAGAAGAAGATAGAAAAAGAAAAATGTGTAATCTGGTTACATGTGTTGGAGTACGAATAAATAAGATCTACTCTGCTCCGAAACAATATATCAAGCTGGAGAGAAAATGACCAATGTAAACCATCTAAAATGTTTTTTCTTTTTTGGAAATATTTCAATTAAATGTGGTACAGCAGCAAGAAGTGAAAACTCTTGTCTTCCTTAGTTATAAAAAAAAGGATGTGATAACATTAAACAAGAACATTGCGTAGGGGTCTTAGTATCATGCAACATTGTAATTTGTTGCATGCTTTTATTGCCATCTGTTGCCCTACCAAGGATATTTCATGTCCTGTCAGGATGAAAGGAGAAACAGTGGGTGAGGGCAAAGGTTCCCAATTGATGGCACTAACAGAAATAAAGTCTTATTATTATTATTTTACAATTATTATATAGCGCCAACAGTTTGTGCAGCGCTTTACAAAATTAAGGTAGACATTACAGTTACAATTTGATACAAGTGGAAACAGGGCCTTGCTCGTTAGAGCTTACGATTGAAAATGTAACTCCACACTTTAGCTAAAAGAAAAAATTATAAACATTTTCTAGAGTTGTGCTTTAATTAAACCCTGTCACCAATTTACAATATTGCAGGTGACAGCAAGAAAAATCAAGTCGTTGAAATACTTACGTACAATATTTTTTCCTTTCTAAAATGCATTTTTTTCGAATCTCCTGTTTATTACCACTAAAAACCATATGCTAAGCTAGTTTAAGAGTTAATAATGGCTCCCCTGAATCCCAGATCACTGCAATTAGAATCGTTCATCTCAAAAGATTACTATTGATCCTTAAATTATTACATTTATTTTGCGGATAAACTTTTTAAAGATCTATATTCTATGTGGGAATATATCTAAATACTTTTTCACTTGCCCCTGGTAACAACTAAAAAATTAAAAAAGCTAAAAGAGACAAAAAGTTCTAGAATTGTGGTATATAATCCTGTAACAAATAAAATTTCAGGACCATGTTGGCAGACCCGGCCACTAGTTTAGCAGCAGGCATAAAAATTTAACAAGAGTATCTCAACCTCCACACCAATATATACTCCAGGGATGTCTGCCTCAACAATTCTAGTTCCTGTACACCTCGTAAGCATTAATTTAAAAAAAGATCTGATGTCTGATAACAATCCTTCACGGTACTTTTTTTGGTAAAAGATAAGTAATCTGGGGCATCCAACCAAACCTAGAATGCTAAAATGTTTCAGCTGAAGCCTCAGTCATAATTGTGACGAAGGCTTTGGCTGAAATGCGTTAGCATTCTGCTGGGTTTGTTTGGATGTTCCAGATCACTTATCTTATACCAAATAAAGTACTTTGAAGGGTTGTTGTCAGACTCCAGCCCTCTTTTAAAACTAGTCCAGCTACCTCTAAAATTGCATTAATTACTAAGCACTATGTGACAGTGCACCGCTTGGCAGATTTCCCCTTAGTTTTGAAGTGACAACTTTACTTTTTTTGCTTTGCCATCACTTTCTGTCCTAATGCCAGTGGTCACCAGAACCCCAGTATTTTTTTTTTTTTTTTGCTGGGGGGACATTTTTTTTGCAAAACCAATCCTAGCCGCTAATTAGCCACTGTATTACTTTTAGAGGCTCCCCTCCAGGCTCTCCCATCCCAGTGAAAGGATGAAGCCAACGGTTCTGTCAGCTTACCATAGAGGTAACAAGGGACTGTAACTTTCCTGATCAGCTCTATAGTATAGGAAAATGGGTGTTTTGTCACCTCTGGTTTTGCCGGATATAAACAGCACCATTTATAAATTGAGAAAGTATCTGATCACACCGCTCCTGGTGTGATCAGATGCTTTTAAGGGCAGAGGAGACATCTGGGGTCTAATAGACCCCAGATCTATTCATAAAGAGCACCTGTCACTGCTTATTTTTATCACAAGGGATGTTTAAAAAATAAAGAAACAGTGTAAAAAGAAAGAAAAATAAAGTAAAACACGTTGGTCCCACACGCATTCATAAATGGCGATTGCACCACACGTGATGTATTGCCACAAACATCAGAGCGAGAGCAATACTTCTAGCACATCCTGTGTAACTTTAAACTGGTAACCTGTAAAAGCTTTTAAAGCCTTGCCTATGTAGATTTTTAAATACCATTATTACCCATTTTAAAATGTGGCATGTTGGGTATCTATTGACTTAGCATAGCACAATCTTTTATATTTTACCAAAAATGAGTATTGTGATGTGTTTGTGTGTATTAAAATTCACTAGCTGCTTTCCTACCACCCTATAGCAGAAATACTGTTACAGGGTGGCAGGTGTGCGCAAAATCACGTATATACGTGATTTTCCATTTCCTGCTAGGAAATGGTGGCCTCACCTGTCGATCACTGGGTTCCGGCTGGTGATTCCCCACCCACACCCAGCGATCGCTGTGTATCACCGATGGAGGGGAGACCTGTATGTAAACAATACAGATCTCTCCCCTGTCAGCTCCTGCACACTACTTTGTATGGCTCTGCATAGCAGAGACATATAAAGCAGTGTGCTTACAGTGTAAAGCACACACACAGCACACAGTAAAACAGCAAACAGCACACAGGTAACCCTTTGAGCGCCCCAGATGTTAACCAATTCCTTCCCACTGTCATTAGTACAGTGTCAGTGCTTTTTATTAGCATTGATCACTATATTGGTGTCACTGGGGATAACAGTGACAGTTTGTCAGTTCCCCCCCCAGTGTCAGAATGCCTGCCACAGTCCCGCAGTCCCGCTATAAGTTGCTGATATAAAAAAAATTTACACGTATTGGGATTTTTTTTTTTTTAGCAAAGACATGTAGCAGAATATATTTTGGCCTAAATTTATGACGAAATCTGATTTTTTACATTTTTTTTACTGGACATGTTTAATAGCAAAAAGTCAAAAATATTGTGTTTTTCTCTTCTTATTTTTTATAGCACAAAAAATGAAAAACACAGAGGTGATCAAATCCCACAGAAAGAAAGCTCTATTTGTGGGAAAAAAGGACATAAATTTCATTTGGGTGTAGCATTGCATGACTGCGCAATTGTCATTGCATTCAAAAAATGGCCTGGTAAGGAAGGGGGGTAAAT